GGGTGACAGCACCTTCAAGGTGGCAGGACCATGAGGGTTTCCTGCTGTGACCCCCAGCACAGTGAGATACCACCATCCAGTAGGGTCATAGCAGTGGTTGGCAACAGAGGGGATCTGAAAGCCAAAACTAAGTTATTTCTACTTTTTCCAGTGGTTGGGGTTTAAAGGAGTCTTATTAATAGGAATACTGTGAAGGATAATATACATGGAATGCTAATGTTGCCCAAACCAAGAACTTTCAATTACAAAGAACCAGATAGCTAAAGAAAAGCAAACTACCAGCCATAAGAACCATACTTTGTAAACAGTTCAGGTCCATCATTTGAATGTCTTGCACATGAAGAAGAACATGGATAATTCATAGAAAAATGTCTTAGGAGTTGCGTTTTCCCTCCAGTTCACTACCCTCTACACCATCAGATGAATAGGGGTTTTTCCTCTCCAAGAAAGCCCCTCCCCTGGCCTTCACCTGTTGTCCTTCCCCTGTTCAGCTTCTGGTCCCACCACAGGGGCCCACATTCTGGCAGGACACATGATGGGAAAAGAAGGTCAGGATGCATCTGTAGCTAGAGCTCACACTGGCTGCAGGGTGGGGTGTGGGGACCTGAAATGTCTCTCCTTGGAGTTGCTTGGGCATAGCACCCTCAGTATACAAATGCACAAGACCTGTATATGGGCGAAGGGAGCAAATTATTTAAGAACTCATCCCAGCCTGAATTACTCTGCATCCCTGTCCTTTTCCATCAGTCAGCTAGTGGCCTTGGGAGGATTGATGGAGATAGCAGAAGGCTTTCAAGGCAGGCCTGCCACTCAGTCCAGCACTGTAAGATTCATCAGGACCAGGAAGATGAGGAGAACCTCAAGGAATGCCAGTGTGTGTCTGCAGGAATATATCTGTCACACATGTCAATGATAATGGAGGTCCCGAGAGGCCTTGCCCTTGTAGGGACAAGAAAATAATGCTGGGTGACTTATAGGCCTGACAACCAAGAAAAGAAGGTGTATCTGTGTAGATGTAACTGTGAATGGTAGCAGCTGAAGACACAATAAAATATTGTATTAAAAAATCACCCTGAATATTCTCTTCCCACATTCTAGTTATTAGTTGGTGACTTTGGGTAATCATATCAGCTTCCCAGTATCACCTTGGTACTTGGGGAAAGAAGGATATGACAACTGGAATTGGTGTCCTTTGAATAGGAGACCAAATGCATTTTATAAATTTTTTTTTGCATGCCAATAAGAACAAAGAGTTGTGTCTCTTTTGTCACCAGATGACAGAATTACCAGACTTTCTGGAAAAAGCAATTGCTGTACAGGCCTCAAATTTACAAGGAGCAGTGGTGCCCCAGCTGACACAGATAACACAGTGCTAGAGCATAAGGAAGGAGATTTTTCTGAATCTTGCCTCCAAAACACCGATTTTATTTTCACTGGGGGTCAGTTTTTGGTGAAAACTGTGTTTCTTTGATTTCATTCCAGCTCAAATCATTTATAAACTTTAGTTCAAATGGCAGTTAAACTGGTAAAGTAAAATGTGCAGCAGGTTATTATAGAGATTGCTAATTTAAAATAATTAGAGAAAATAATGAGAAAACTATTTCCTCTCTTAAGGATTAGAGATCCGTAAACTGATACCAGTCTATTTTTAGTGTATGTAATCTATATAATGATGATAGAGAATTATGAGTGCTTTAAAATGCTTTTAAAAAGTCTGCTTAATTGAGGAGTTTAATCAAACAAGTATTGATATTAAAATTTATGTGTCTTTAGTAAATCTTAGTTAATTCCACAAAAAGAAAATTATATGTATTTGTCTTAATGAAATCACTTAAACAAAACGCAGTGACTAAGTATACAGCTAAATTAAGATTTTTAAAATTGACTTGATATAGATAAGACAGAGAGAATTTGTTGACCCATTTATGTATTCATTGGTTGATTCTTGTATGTGCCCTGACAGGGACTGAACCCACAGTCTTAGTATCAGAACTATACTCTAACCAACTCAACTACCTGGCCAGGGCTTTAGTTAAATAAGATTTAACATCTGTTGGCACTCTCTCTTCCCAGAGCATACCCACGCCTTTCTTTTCTCTCAGGTGTGCTTTTTATCCCTAAGTTCTAAGGATCCCCAGGAGATTTGCAACCAGGGGAGCAGTGGACAATGGCAGCTTGTCCCCGGCTAATTCCCTGAACCTGTCTCCAAGGTTCCCTTTTCTCTGACTTTTCAGTGAGCCAACAGCAGCCACACCTAGGCTTACTTTTTTCCTGTAATGTTTCTATGGAGCCAAAGCTGAGCACTGCCTAGGCTTCTGCTGCTTCTTCTTCTGTCCCAAGTCCTTCCTCTGTTTCACTGTCTGCAGCTTTAATAAATATCTCTCAAAATTAAAAAAATATTTAAAACCTGTTTATGATAAGTTCTTGACTACTATAATTTCACAACTCCACCCTAATAATTTGTCCTTCAAAAATGGTTGTAAACAACTCACTGTTCACAGTCTTAGATAAAGAGACCCATCAGAAACCCTGTGAGAAGGAAAGAAACAAACAAAAACAAGCAACAAAATTCCAAGCTGCTCTCTAAAGTAGTATCAATATATACTCCAACCAGCAGTATATGAAAATCTCAGTTATTCTAACATTCTTGCCAATGCCAATGTGGTATTTTCAGAATTTTAAAATTTTCCAGCCTGACAAGTATAAAAATGGTGTCTCAATACTTTTTAATTCATGTTTTCTAACTGCTAGTAAAACTGCATATCATATCTGGGTTTCCTTTTCTGTGAGTTGCCTGTTTGTATCTGTTGCTTATCTTTTCCATTAGCTTATGAATTCTTCTTGCTGTTTTATAACACTGATTTCTATTTTCTGGATAATAGAGGTATAGAGGACACACATGAATGACAGCCATGTTCAGTCAAAGCCAAAGCAAAAGCTGAATATCATTCTCATAGAATAAACTCAAGGGATACAAGGATAATTCTGAAATTTTATCAGTAAGGATTTTCACAGTAACGATTTTATTAACAAATTTTTAACAGCTTGCTATAACATAAGAATATGGATTTCTCAGCACTGTCAGCAGCTAGACTCCTGTGCTCACTACAGTGTGCATTTTCAGTACTAAATACTTTCCATTAAGATCAGTGGAAGAATATGACATTTGGGTGGCTTCTCATTTTTCTCTAAAATTTCTTTTCTTTGAACTCTTTATAATCATTATAAAGTTTGAACTGAAGATGATTTATTATTAATATTATCAGTACATGATTTTGGAGTTTTTCCACCACATGATGGTTTGACATGGAAAAGATGACACTTTGCTTTTACTTAATCCTCACAAGATGTATTTCTCAAATAAGGCTTTTATTCAAAAGATACATAGTATAAATGAAATTAGGCAATAAAAAATTAAATACAATCTTTAAAATTCATGTTTAATGTTATCAATGCTCTGTATGCAACTGTACAAAGAGTAAAATTATTATATAATTCTTTTTTTTAAAAAAAGAGATCCATCAGAACAAATGAAACCCTCAAACTATGATGTGGCACACAGAGGAAAATGGACACTTCTGGGTGGTTTTATTTCCTTCCTGCAATAAAAGATCACTGTAGAGTGACCACAATATTTAAGTCCTGTGAACTCTGTTCCTAATTTAAGTAATGACAGTTAACTAAGGGTGTGTTCCAAATAACTGAACAAACTGACTGGAAAGTGAGAAAAATCTTTATCTGGTTATTGTGATATCATATGAGCAAAATAACCATGTGGGATTAGTTCAACTCTGTATCAACCAGGCATAAACACCTTTGGGAGCATTTCCTCCATCCCTTTCCTTGACCGACTCCTGATAGTTTTGCTGGATTCTGGAGGAATCATGGCGGGGCTGCTTTTACCCATCTTCTGCTTGCCTCTTAGCACTTGTAGTTTTAAACAGTAGCGAAAGTTTCTCATGTAAACCTGAACAAGAGATTTGGAAAAAAACTGGATTCTTTTAATTCAGCTATCTGTAGTTCCCCAAAGTCAGGGTCTTTAAAAATATCTATGGAACTTTTAAAAATAAATGAGGAAACTGAGTTTGTGAGATGTTAAGTAATACATCTAGGGTTCCATATCAGGTGATAGTGATGTCAGGCTATGAAGTCAAATTCTTGGACAATAGCCCAGGGCTCTCTTCCTGTGAAGGAGGTGCTGAGATTCAGTGAGTGTATGGAGAGCTAGTCAGAGGGAGTTGAGAATCCTCAAAAACCACCTATTAAGAAAACAGGCTCTGAAAGGAAATTTGCTTAGTGCTTTGAAATTAACAGAAAACAGCATCAAAGAGAAGTGCAACTGTCAGTCTTCCCTGCAGGGTTTTACTTTGTTCCCTGGCACCCAAAATGCAGTGATTGAAAAAAAGGTCCTGGCCTGCCTGTCATTTCTGCAATCCCGTTTGTGATGCATAAAGTCAAAACTGGCTCCCAAACTGGCCTGATTATATGGAGTACCTGTTAACACACAGGTTTCCAGAACCCTCCTTGGGAGTTTCTGATTCAGTACATCTGGCATGGGGTCTGGACAGCTACATCTATAACAGATGCTCCACATGATGCGTATGAGCCTGCCAACAAGAGCAACACAAGTATGGAATAGGGGTTGGCAAACTTGTTCTGGGAAGGTGAAGATGAAAGTGTACATATTTACATATTTCAGACACTAAAAGCCATACAGTCCTCTGTTGCGGCTACCCAAATCTGCTGTTGTATCAAGAAAACAGTCACAAATACCACATAAGTAAATAAATATGTCTGTGACCCAATAAAGCTTTATCTCCAAAAGCAGGTAGATGACCAGCCAGATTTGACCTGGGGGCTACAGTTTGCCAATCTCTGGTCTAGACTATTTCAAGGTGGGTGGGGTGATAAACAAACTCAGGTCTGTTTTTTCAAGCGACCCTCTCAGGTGAGGAAGAGAAGGCCCCTTTAAAAACAAATGAATAAAGTAAAAAACTCACCAAAATGCCAATGTCTCTAGGAAAGAAATTCCAACACTGGATGCTCCAACCACAACAATCCTGGCATTGACAGTTATTTTAGGTTCCAGCGTTAGTTTTCTGTTTGTATGGTTCAAGGCATAACTCAACTGAAAAAAAATACAAAAAGAGGGACTTGAAGAAAATGTAGATGAATCTATAATCTCAAATGGGAAATTATGTGGAATTATTTAACTAGCACATTATCAGCAAATCAAACTGAATAGTGCAAATGCACAACCATGGTGAAATTTATGGGGAAGTATTTTTAAGACATTAATGTAAGAATATGGAAATATACCTTATACCTAGGCTGGTTCACATCAAAATTCTTGGTTTAGATTATTTTTTCCTAATGTTGATAGATGTTTCATATAGAACTGAGGTGCTTTATGATTAGCGACAATAAGATAAATAATCCCACAAGAAGACAAACACTTTGCTTTCTGAGAATGCAGAGTTTCATGAAAGGTCCCAAGTCTTTCTTGCTGTCCAAGTTTTCCTTGAAACCTGAACAACAATTATAATAGTTGAATACTTGAAGGCAAACATTACCTTTTATTCAATTCTCCATCCTTTACTTAACACAGCACCTTGTGCACAGCAGGTGTTCAGTAGTATTTATAGAATGACACATAAATACTTGTTAAATGGAAAAAAGATGTTGGATGATAAAGGTTGTTCAGGGAGGACTCTTAGAAGCACAGAATCTAACTAATGATCACATTAATGCTCATGTTTGCAAAAATTATCTGGATCGATAATTTGTTCAACTCATATTCCTGCTGAAGCTTGGTGTGAAGCAGGGGCGGAGGAGGCATTAAATGTACAAAGGAAGGTTTTTCAGAGAGGTGGTGGGATATTCTTGAAAAAACATCAGACTGTCAGAGACTTTGTTTTTAATTCATTAATTCAACACATTTTTTTAAATTAATGCTTACTATGTATCTAGACAATAACAAGAACTATAGCTGACTTCTCATCAGAAACAATGGAGGCCAGCAACCAGTGGAATGGCATCCTTATGAAAATACCCTACTTGGTTAAATTCTCATTACAGCAGCAGTAACATCCTCTAGGTCAGAGATCTTTCAATTCTAGTAAGCCAAACTAAACCTATGATTAATTTTCGTAAAATCCTGTGATATCAGGAGTAGGGAGTACAGTGAGCTAACGGTAAGGTCCTACGTAAAGCTGGGCTCTCGGCTTCCAGTGTGTAAAGTGGCATGGGTATGGCCACATGTTTTGCCATTTCCCATGTAACAGGTTAACTCTAGAAGATAAATCCCCTCTCTCTAGCTCTAGCTACTGTAGAAACATAGAGGTAGAAAAATGTCTTGAGAAAAATAATTTATGAATAGAAATTTAAAACAAAGTTTGGAGATTTTAGACTCCATTATTAACACTCCTCATGTCTCTCAGCATCTGTTCTACCCCCACTCCCCTCTTGAAAGCAGCACACAATAGATTTTGGGAGAGATTGAGCCCACTCCCATCTTTAAGAGAGGACTCTGACTGACATAAACCAAGTTAAATAATCCCACAACTCCATGCTCAACAATTGGCCCAGGACAGACACATGATTTACTTTGACCTAATCATAGTGAAGCTCAGGACTTTTGTATGCTGGTTGGAGAAGAGAAGAGAAGCCTTTTGCCTTTCAGATGGTACTGGGTACAGATGTGAAGCCTGAAATGATACAGTCAACATACCAGCAAGAGGGAAACTACCCTTAGTTGAAGTCTCAAGAGAATCACAAAGAAATAGAACAGGAATTCTTTTAAACACTACCTGAAGTCCACACTACCTTTGGACTCATCAGTTACATGAGTAATAAATATCAGTCAGCTATTGCCACAATAGTGCTGCATAACAAACAATCCTAAAACATTTAAGCATTGGCTTAAAGCAACTGTCATCCATTCTCACTCACGCAATGCTAGGTCAGTTGGAAGTAGGCTGGATTCACCTGGGCTTGGTTCTGACCTGCAGATTCCAGATTGGCCTCATATCTCTCTTATCTTTCTTGATGGGTGATAGCTGGGGAGTGTTTTTCTCAAGGCAGTGGTAGAAGTATGAAAAATGAGAAGCAATATTTCTTCAGCTTAGTCAAAGCAAAAGTTATGTGGCTAAGCCCAAATTCCATGAGATGGGGAAGTAGATTCACCTATAGTGATAGGAACTTCAAAGTCACATAGCAAGGGCACAGCCCAGTGATGGAGGGAGGAATGGCTGGGGAGAATGACACCACCCACTACATTTCCTTGATTGGTTAGATCAGTTTGCTTCTTTTATATGCAACTGAAAACCTTGTAAACTGGTACTTTTTCTAAATAGTAATAATAACGAATATTCGTATACCATTTGGGTGAAAAGTGTCTGCTCTTCAAATAACTATCACTCTGATCTGCTCTATGAGAATTTCCCAGGACAGGTCAATAAGGAATTCTGAGAGAAAACTAGTTAATACTGGTACATGTTGTTGCTACTATATACTGTGTTCTGATTAATTTCCAAGACAAGCAGGCTGGCAGCAAATTCACTCTAGCCAGCCTTGGGTCTGGTGGTTTAGGAAAAGGAAGTTAGGAAGCATAGTTGTTGGTATGATGGCATCTAATCATGGGTCTAATCAACAGAATTAAAATGCAAAGATCTTAACAGAGGTCACAGCCCAAGATTCTTCCCCTAGGAGCTATGTTCAGACATTCCCTTCTGCTGTCCAGAAGTGTATGGGCAGTAATGAAATTCCCTGGTAAAGAATCATACCCTATTTCAGAAACAGTTCCTGTATCAAAGATACAAAGGCAGCTGGGGAACAGAACAGAATAGCTTTTGTTTCCCACACAATAGCTTTCACACCAACAGCTGCCAAGCCTCAGAAATCACCCTTCTAACCACTGAATACACAACGTGGCCTTGGGGTGTCAAGAATTAACATCAGTACCACTGATGGTGGGTGTCTCTGGGGAGTGATCACAAAGACTCTCAGTAAGCTCAATTTTGTGCACAGGCTTTAATTAAAAACATATTCATCATCAGGTATGATGGAGTGACCTGAAAAAACCCACACTTTTCTTTTGCTAGGATAGATGGGATTTAATTAATTAATTAATTTATTTATTTATGATAGATGGTTTTTAAATGCCTTGAAAAAAATTCTTGCCAGCCTGGAAATGTTTATCCATGACACTGCAAATGAAGACTGCATCTGCGGCTTTCTAAAGGGTTTATTTTGCCTGTATGAGGAAGCACAAGTCATTTTTGTAGGGAAGCAGAATATTTCTTTCCTTTACATTCCTTCAAACTGCAGGTTTTCATGGTAAAGAAAAATGTGTTTGGAAGGCCTTCTGACCCCTCTGGGGCCAGTCCAAGCCTCCTTTTCTTGGTCTCAGCATCTATCAAAAATGTCCCATGCATTAGAGATCCTGTTTTGGGTTTTTGCTTTTGTTTTTTACTTCCTTAATAGTAAAGTAAAAATAAGAGCCGTATCTATTGACCCATTTTATAGAAAAAAGTTATATGTGCCTTGTAATAGTAAATTATTTCAAAGATAAAATAGAGGAGACTCTGTAAGCTAGTTGGCTACATACCACACCAGTGATGAATGGGGACTCCAATTTTTAACTCTATGTCCATTAAGACATTTATGATTCTATCTTTCTAATGATACTCATTAGCACTTTTCTACCTAGGGATTATTTTAAAGGTAGAAATTAATATATACTCCAGCAAGAAGGAATAAACCATATATCATGGTGTGTAAGCTGACTTTTTACAATTGATGATGAGTCTCATAATTGTCACAGGTGTGCACAGGTGTGCACAGGTAACCAGGTTCTTAGTGATCGAGAACAAAGAATTGAACCAAACACACAAAGTTTATAGCATAAAGAAAGAGGGGAGGTTTACTAAGTGATAGTACACACCACAGGACACAGGAGTGAGCCAGCTCTGAGCAGAGGAAAAAAGGGCACGTGGGCTGGGGGATTCTATTCTTATAGGGGCAGAAGCCCTCCTGCTAGTCTTTGGCGGGCTTTTCCTGCGCAGGTACAAGGAGTTGGATTTCAAAGCTACTGCGCATGTGTGGTTTCCCATGACTTTCTTGATTGGCTACTGGAGAAGGGAGTCCCAAAATGTTATTTCATTATAATGATATTATAATGAATCAGGGGGTAGTGCGCAGGCGCATTCTATGATTCAGAGTTATCCCAGAAAACAGGAACAACCCGTCTTAGGGGGTCTTTGTCATGTATAGGTGTTTTCTACCTCAGCCCTGCGGGGCCTCGGGAGCTTCCTTCCTGACTACCTCCTGCCTCATAATGAGTTTAAAATACAAACTTAAGTCCTATCCCATAAGCAAGAGAAAACAGAATGATAATATGGGAGACCCCTTTTAGGAAATTCTAGAGCTGAACTGTAGGTGGGGGAAGGTGACAGAGAGTGAAGGATTCTGAGGGGAAAAAACAATGTCAGGTGGGAGGAGAGGAGAGCTGAGAAAATAGAAAATTGAAATGAGCATGTGTTTAATTTTTAAACTATGTATCTGTAATTTCCTATGAACTTCTGAAACAAAATACTTTGTTCATGTGAATGAGCAAGGCATTGGAAAGGTTTCAGTTACTTTTATTAATTTATTTGGTTTGCTTGCCTCAATTTATTTCCTAAAGTCGACAATTACACCTTTGTTTTATTGAGGTATTTGTTTTGTTTTGTTTTGTTTTATCTGAATCATTCCTGCCATAATTTTGGACATTCGACAAATGTTGAAAGAATAGATATATTAACTTTATATTTCATTAGCCTTTCTTAAAGGATGTTGACATGATTTCTACCAATTTATTATTTTTTCCCAAGGAGGTAAAGTTTTTTAAAAATATTTTTTATTGATTATGCTATTAGTTTTCCCTAATTTTTCCCCCTCTGTCCCCCCCAACCCATTCCTCCCAACTCTCCAGCATTCCCTTCCACCCTTAGTTCACATCCATGGGTTGTACATATAAGTTCTTTGAGTCCCGTTTCCCGTACCATTTTTTATCTCTCCCCATCTACCTTATGCCTACTAACGATGCTTCTTCTTCCCTGTACTTTTCCACCCTATTCCTCCCTTCCC